AGGTCAGGAGATCGAGACTAGCCTGGCCAACATAATGCAACTCCATCTCTACTAAAAATACAAAAATTAGCCAGGCATGATGGTGCCCACCTGAGTCCCAGCTACTTGGGAGGCTGAGGCAGGAGAATCATTTGAACCTGGGAGGCAGAGGTTGTAGTGAGCCGAGATTGTGCCACTGAACTCCAGTCTGAGCAACCCAGAGAGACTCTATCTCAAAAAAAAAAAAAAAAAAAAAAAAAAAATTAGAAGAGTGCACTGATTTACATTTTTGGCAAATTTCTTTAACAGCTTATATAATAAAAGACAGGCGGGTTCTCATATCTGCTTCTGCATTCAGTCTGTTGTGATACCACCTGTTACATTATCATTGGAAAACTCCACTGTATACCCAGAAAAGAAATCAAGAAAGGCAAATAACTTCCCAGTATTGTAATAAAAATAGTTTTGATTTCATGGACCTCCTAAAAGGGTCTTGGTGATCCATAGGGGTCCCAAGACCACACTTCGAGAATGGCCAGTATAAAAAGTCAACAGTGTTTGCTACATTCTCCAAAAGAAAAAGCTCTTTTTTCCCCCCATATTCTTACAGTGAACTTGTTTGGCCTTCAGGTCATCAGATCAATACACTGGGATCATCTTGACATTTCTTCATCAATTCAAATAATACTTAAAAGAGTTTATTTTGTGCCTGGCATTGTTTTATGGACTGAGGACTGAACAAAGTCCTCACCTAATGTCATGAATACATTCCTGGGAACTGTGACTTTAAGCAAAACAACACTGAGCACAACCCATTTTACCACCGGCTAATATAACAAGGGTTAATTTCCTGCAGGGTATTTTTGGTCACCAAACATCATGGAACTCCGAAATAAAGACCCTAACATACTTCTAATATTGAAACTTGAAATAAATGTGAGCTATAATACACTTAAAGAGATATTAATATAAACAATTTGGATAATTTTAATTTTTTTTTGAGAGAGGAGTCTCACTTTGTTGCTCAGGCTGCAGTGTAGTAGTGTGATCTTGGCTCACTATAACCTCCTCCTCCCGAGTTCAAGCAATTATCCTGCCTTAGCCTCCCAGTAGCTGGGATTGCGGGCACACGCCACCACGCCCAGCTAATTTTTTTGGTATTTTTAGTAGGGATGGGTTTTTGCCATGTTGGCTAGGCTGGTCTCAAACTCCTGACCTCAAGTGATCTGCTCACCTTGGCCTCCCAAAGTGCTGGGATTACAGGTGTGAGCTACTGTGCTCAGCCAGATAATTAAATATTTACCCAATTATTCCAGTTCAGGGGTGCAGGTGGCTGAAGCCTATCTGGATAGCTCAGGGGACAAGGCAGGAACCAACCCTGGGCAGGCCATCAGTCCATACAGGGCACACTCACACACACACACACTCACAATCACTCACACTGGGACCATGTAGATACTACAGTGAACCCAAGGGGCATGTCTTTGAGATGTGGGAAGAAACTGGCGTATCGGGAGAGAACCCATGCAGACAATGGGGAGAATGTGCAAATGCCACACAGACAGTGGCCTTGGCTGGGAATCGGCTTTTTTTTTTTTTTTTCTCAGCTTTATAACAAAAGGGTGTTGAATAAAATGACATTGAATGAAACTATGTTATTCAAGGACCTGCAGCACAGTCATTTCCCTTGTGGAGCTTGCATTTTCGTTGAAGAAAAATCATAAACACATAAACTAAGAAGACAGTTTCAGATATTGATAAGTGATACAAAAGAAAATAAGTAATAACATGAAGTATGAGGGGTGTTTGGGGTGGCGGGCCAAGAGCTATTTAGAGACTGCAGAATTGCTATTAGAGCTGAGATATAAATGATAGAAGGAATCTTTGGAAAACTTGAGAGAACATTCCAGGTAGAACAGCAGGGGCAAAAAGCAGGAAGGAGCTTTGCAAGTTAGAGGAACAGAGAGCAAGGCAGTGTGACTCGAGTGTAGTCCACCATGGTAATGAACAAATGGAATAAAACAGTCAGAAGAAGTCAGGCAGGTATAGATCATTCAGGTGTTTCAGGATGCAAAAAGGACTTAAAGTTTTATTCCAATTGCCATATAGACCACTAGAGGAAATGAGACTGTGGAATCCTCTTAAATGCTAAGCTTTGCTTCCTTCTGTAAATTCTTCCACCTTTTCCAAGCACAGCTCTTCAGCCTAACACATTCCCCATCTTTATCAGGATGACTCTTTAGAAAGGCACAAGATCCCAAATAGACGCATCTTGCCTCACATAAATTGTTTGTATGCTAACATCAAAAACAGACAGATCTGGAACCAATCAGGGGAATGTAAACTACAGGTTGCTTGATGTGGAATAACTTCTGCATGTTGGCCAGTGTAGGTGCTCAGCCAAAAATGCACTGTGTGAATACAATTGTTTGGCAATTGCTGATCTGTCACTTGTCCAAAGCGGTTAAGTGTGTGAATGGATTTGTATGGGTAATGACTCTCAAATTAGCAACTAGATATTCTCATCTCTCCATGGTGCAAGAAAAACATATTGGAACTTGGCTCATTTCTGGAAAATTCTTGTGATGACCCTCAGTTGTTCAAAATGCACATTTGGTCATCATTATCCCTTGTGTAAGCAGTTTCTGCAAACTACAGGATGATGTTACAGTTATGTTTAGAGAATAAGGGAACATGCTCTACACCTTAATCAAATCATTTAAAGATGAGCCTTCTTAGATAACATGCACTTAAGTTTATATATGGATGGTTGCTGGGAGATCTAGTCTATACTTTGATTTATGCTGTGGCGAGAGAAGTAATCTTGTCTCTCATTGGAAACCTCCAGACGCAACCTGTGTACAGAACTCTAAGGTATTTACGATAAATAAGGTGAGAGAATTGTTACCAGACACATTTTTCTACAACAAAATAATGCACAGAATCCACAAACACAGAAGTGACTTGAAATCTTCTTTGAAGGGGCCAGGAAACGGTCAAGAATTTGGTGAGACAGAGTCTAGCTCTGTCGCCCAGGCTGGAGTGCAGTATCACCATCTCGGCTCACTGCAGCCTCCGCCTCCTGGGTTCAAGCAATTCTTCTGCCTCAGCCTCCCAAGCAGCTGGGACTACAGACGGCCGCCACCATGCCGGGCTAATTTTGGTATTTTTAGTAGAGACAAGGTTTCTCCATGTTGGCTAGACTGGTCTCAGGTGATCCACCCGCCTCAGCCTCCCAAAGTGCTGGGATTACAGGCGTGAGCCACCACGCCCAGCCGCCTGATCACATTTTCGAAACAGCTGTGGCTACTTGGACTCTCATCGGTGGCTCCCAAAAAATTTTTAAAAATTAGTTATTGTGAAAAATTTTATTAAACTAAGACCAGACTGTGCAAAGAAAATAAAACTATGTAATTACAAGGCTACATATTTTCAAAGGAATTTAATTCTGGCCTCTGAATGCAATTAACTGGTCTCTCTCTCTCTCTCTCTTTCCCTCTATTTGAGGAGGAGAGAAAAGGAAGAAGGGATGATTCTCACTTTTCGGTAGGAACCGGTAACCAAATCTGTTGTTCTGCCAAATCTTCCCCATTCTCTGATTTCTTGTTGCTCAGGGAGTATGCTTGAAACCTATGCCTTCCTTCCATGTCAGATAAGCAGAAAGTTTGCTCTAGCTATGATAAATCTGTACAACGCAGAGATGTTTTTGGCACAAAACGTACGTTAGACGATGATGATTAAGCTCCCCCCTACCCCCGTCCCATTCTTGCGGCCCGGGAGTGTGTTTTGCCTGCATTTAAGAAATGTCTTTCAGCTGCAAGCATGTGCGCGCTCAGCCTGCAGCCGGCGTTTCTGAGTCTCCGGGGCAGGGTGACTTGGGTCGGCTGAGTGTCACCCACAGATGTGACTGTTGTTTCTCCCGCGGGCGCGACAGCCTCCTTCCTCTCCAGCCCGAGGCCCGCGGCCCAGACCAAGGGGAAGGGGAAGGAAGCCCTCGCCGCAAGCCGGCGTCTGGGCCGGCACAAGACGCGCTGCCACTAGAAACTTTTTTCCCTCAGCTGCGCGCAACTTTTGGCCTTTTCTACCAGCACGTTCTCGTCCGGGGTTTCCGTCCCTTGGGTTTTCCTCTGCCTCCTTCGCCTTCTCCCTAGCGGCGCGCATAGGAGCTGGGCTGAGGGGCGCGGGGAGCTGGCGCGGCCGCAGCAGCGACGCCGGGGAAGGGGCATGGGAGGAGGGGGCGTGCGGGGTTGGGGAGGAGGAACTGGTCAAATGGGACCCAGACGCCCGCGTGCCCGAAAAGGAAAGAGCCGCCGCGGTTTGCTGCAGTCGGAATAAAGTTCGCGCCCTTTCCTCGCCGTTTCGCAGCCTCCTCTCTTCTCCTTCCCTCCGCTCCCCACCCCCGCCCCGCTTTTTTTTTTTTTTTTTTTTTTTTTTTTTTTTTTTTGTGACAGCTGGGCGCTAGCGGCCACCTCCACCTCCACGCCCGCAGCCCCGGTCGGGGGTCGGGGGGGCGCCAGGGTTGTTTTTCCATCCCCAGAAAGTTGTTTTTCCATCCCCAGAAAGAGAGCGAGAAAACCTCCCAAACAAACAAGAAGCCCCAAACAAGTCCCGGGGCGGGGGGGAGGGAGAAACATACATCCTCCTTCCCTAAGCCCGTGGACCTCTCAGGACGAACAGCAACACAACCAGCCGACTTTTGTTTTGCAAAAGGGAAGCAACATTGTAGTCACGACAGTTCTGCAGAGAGGAAAAACTTGTGGGGCTTGCACGAGCGCCGAGGTCACCTCGCCCGCCGGTACCCCGCCTCCCGCGAGCAGGGCAGCCCCCTCCCGGGACAAGCCGTTCCTTCGTTCCTTTTTTTTTGTCCTGAGGAGGGGCCGGGGAACCGTGCCGGCTGGGACTCGGGGCGCGAGCGCGACCCCGGCGCGAGTGTAAATCAGTCACCTGAGCGCCGAGGGGCCGCGGCGAGGGCGCGCGCGGGCGGGCGGGGAGGCGGAGGCGGCGAGAGCGGCGGCCCGGAGGAACTCGGAGGGGGAGGGAGAGAAAGGCCGAGACGGAGGGAGCCAGCGGCGGCCGAGGGGCTGGTCCAGGCGCGGCCGCTAAGAGGAGACCAAGAGGCGGGGGTTGCACTTGACAACCAGCATGCCGAGATGGTAAGAAGTTTCCACCCTTCTTCCCTTTTTATTCTAGACTTCGTCAGAAATGACCCCCGCGCCCGAGCGCCACCGGGGCCGCCCGGGGGCCGTGTCCGCCCTCAGCCTCGCGGCGCCAGGGGTAAGGGGACGCTGAGGAGGGCGGGCCGGGGACGAAAACCCCGGGTCAGACCTGGTTCCCGCTGCGCTCCTGGTGTCTTCCCCTAAACTTGGCCCCAAGTTTCCGAGGCGAGCTCCAGGTGGGAGGGTGCGCGTGTGAGGGGGCTCGTCAAGGTCGGCCCCGCTCGCGGCTTCCGCGCGAAGGTGAGCAGCTGGCGAGGGGAGGCTCCAGGGGAGGCTCCAGGGAGTTGGGGACGGGCCGGGGGGACGAGGTGGAAGGGAGCGGGGATGAATGGAGCGCCGGCTGGAGCTCGCGGCGGAGAGGAAGGCGGCTGAGACCTACGGCAACTTTTACAACTTGCCGCCGAGTGAGGGGCCGGCGGCTGGGCGTGTGTGCCGGGTGCGCTGGGGCGCAGCCGCCGGGGCCGGCACGTCGGCTCTTCCCCTCCCCTCTTCTGCACGTTCGGAACCCTGGCGTGGTAAATGGAGATGGGAGGAAATGCTCCTGCAGGCTTCACCGAGAAGGTGCAGAACGCAGGGCAGGAAAATCAACCCTGCAGAGAGACGGCTCTTTTCGAAGTGCCATTCTATAGGAGCCGATTTGTTTTACTTGCACGTCGACTGGAGGGTGGGATTTCGGGCCTGTGGAGGGAGTAGAATAAAAAACCTGTATGTTGAAAAACCCTAGGTGAAATCCCCTGTGAAGTGAGTTTAAGGTTGAAAAAAAGTTCCAAGTGCCAGTGGTGGAGGAAATGGGCTGGCTTTGCGAAGCAAGACTCCAGCACAGTCCTTCTACGCGAAGCGACTTCTCTGCAGCGAGGAAGCCTGCAATTAGTTCGACTGGTGATGAGCCGCTCTGTCCGCTTTCGGGGAAGTGATTTGTTAGAAATGGGGCTTGACCACTCCCTTCTTTTTAGTTTGCTTCCACCCAGCGTCGCTATTGTTACCCCCACTTGGGGATCTGACATAGTGTGTTCCGTATGTAGAGGGAACAGATAAGAATAGAGGTGAGATAGCGGGTTGGCATTTTTTCTTCTTCCCTTCTCCCTAATGTGACATCTCTTGTTTCAGTGATCAAAGTCACAACTGGAGTGTAGGAGATGCGACTGTCAAATGCAGGCGCGCGTGCACACACACACAAAAGCGTGAGCCCAGGACTGTGGTTACAGTAACGCTGACAGAAATTAAAGTGGTTTTGAAAGCAGCGTGCGATTTATGATGGTTTCCATTTACCCTAGAGTCAGTCTGTTGTAAAACTGATGTACAAAAGACATCATAAAATAATCCTCTATACCCAGGATTAAAGTGGCAGAAAGTGGCCTGTTTTATTGTTTTTTATGTACTTCGTGGACACTTGCAATTGTTGAAAGCTGTGTTTAAGTGAGACATCAAAACAGAATATTAAATATATCTAGAGCTTGAGCGTTTTTCTTCTAATGGGCATTTTACACAAGAACACTGTAAAAGCCAGTTGCAGGTATTATTTTTCTTCCCTTTATCCTAGCGCGTGTTAACTATTTATCTACACATCTATATTAACTATTTGTCTACACATTTATTCCCATATACTAATCACTTTGAACTGTGGCTGAGCCTGTTTGCCTTCCTTCTACTGCTTTGTATTCTGCAGTTTCAAATGTTACTGTGAACATGCATACATGCTTTAAGTGGGAGGAATTTATTTCTGGCACTGTTGCTTAGTGTGTCTGATCTGAAGATGTACCTTAATAGTGAGACCTTGTACAAGTTAACAGAACTTTTATTCTTTGGACTCAAACACACTCGTGCGCATACACACACACAATCCCTTGTGCGCCTTTAGAGAATATTTGTGTTTTATATTATATTTGTAGCTGTTTCATTTAAACTGTTCAGTCTTAATGAAGTTCTTAGTTCCCAGAGTGCACTGTATTAAAAATCCAGATTGCTAATCACTTTACCAAAGTGCAGGAGTATCTTTACCTGAGGGAAGTAATAGTGAGCTTGAACGGGAACTTTGAGTATCTTTTGAGAAATGGCTGAAACTTTTTCCCCTTGAGAATATTAAGTTGGGTGGTGTTTGCATGTAGACTTTGAATAAAAAGCAGCTGTACATGATAGTTTACAATTAATATTAAGAAAATATTAATAGCAGTAGATTCCTAATATCTGATTTTTTCCCCTCAATTTGAAATGTAAGATATCTGTCAGATAGGAATATGCGATTACAGAAAGAAGCAGACAAAAGCAGAGCTGACTATTGCTATATTAAAATGTAAGTGTTACAGTTTGAATTTTCAAGTGAGAGTTCTTGAGTTCAGTGCTTTACATAACATTTTGTCCTAATCTTGCTTGCTGTCAGGGATGTTTCATGGTTGTGCAATTGCTGCAGTCAAGAATGCCAATTTGCATTCCAGGAGTGTCATTTGATTACTTTTATCTGCACAGCTCCAAGACCGGCCCAGACCTCTCGTTTCATCTTGCCATGTCACGAGTCAATGCTGTGTCGTCTTTTCAAAAATCTGCCTGATTTAGACAAGAAAGAAAAGTACTTTCATGTTGCAGCCGCAGTCCCCTGCTAACTTGTCAGCAGCAGGATATGATTCACTTGGGCCCAGAAGAATGGAACAGAGAGGCGGGTTAGGCGGTTCAATAAAGCCCACGGACAGGTAGTGTGTGACATCCCCAGAGAGCCGCAGTTAATGAAGAACAGGTCTGCTTAGTTCTCCACACGCTGACCTGGTGCTGTCCCCACAGTTTTCTCATTTGATCTTTCCCAGCAAATTGATCTTTTCTTGTATTTTTTTTGCCTTCCAAGTTAGTCCTTGTGGGACTGAAATTAGCAGAGCAACTTAAGTTGGATAATACAGCTGTTCAGAAAAGAAGAAATTGGACACTGGCTCAAAAAGGGGTGGGGGGTGGGGGGGGGTAGAGGGAGCTATTCTTTTTGTTGTTGTGCCTGGGAATATTTCTTATATTAGGGGAGTCCAAAATAGATGATGACTTGAAGTTAGTGGTTTCCTTTACTTTTTAATTTTAGTGTTAAGGGTTCAGCACGATTTTAATATTCCTTAAATATTTGAAAGATGGCTTTAGTATGAGGAGTTCAATTTAGTTTTGTTCACATTCATTTGTTTGAGATAATTTGCCAGTTGACAATGTGGCTTTTTTGGTTATTGTAAGATGGCATACTTCAACTATATTATTTATAGCCTTCTAAACAGCTACGATCCCCAAATAGCCAATACTAAATTGCAGAAAAGATTAAGCAATAAAAAAAGTCGTTATACTAGTGTTGTATATAAATATTATGATACATGAAAATGTTTTCTACAAATTATTAGTATCTTTGTTTTATATAAACCCTACAGATACAGTTAATGAATTTTTTTCTGAATTTTTGAGATTCTGCATTTAAATGTAGATTTTTAAAACTGAGACCAGATCACAAATTGGAATTTCTGTGGATGTTCATACGTGTTGTTACTTGTTTTTTGACATTAAAATTAATTTTAGACAGGACGGGTAAATTTAAGTTGTATGGTTTAAACAGATTAAAGTTTCACTATAGAATTTTATATATAAAGCTTAGGTTGGAAGCAGTTAATAGATTCTTAATTTGATAAATATATAAGGAGCAATGCTTTCTGATTTACTCAGCAGATGGTCTCATTTACCATCTACATCCTTACGAGAAACACAGTTGAAAACATTTCTTGTGGAAGGGGAGGCAGCTTCCTTGAATCTTTCCTGTTGGATGGAAATTATGTGGTATCATTGGTTAGTAAACTCCCATCTGAAGAGCTAGAGGGAGCCTCATGATTTTATTAGTTATACTTAAGGTTTAAAAAACACTCTGGCAATCAGAATGTTGCACAAAAAGAGTAGGTGATGAATACTGGCTCAGTGTTTAGGCTTGGAGGTGCCATTATGGTTTTTCTTTCTTTCCTTTTTTTTAAAGCAGTGACAGAAGCAAAAGAACTACAAGAACAGTCAAGGTGTCAGCTAAGCTTTCTAGGCTCTTGCCTTTGAGGTGATTGAAGATCAGGCAAAATGCAACCAGATACTATATTTTAAGTGTTTTGGTTTGACTAACTACTGTTTGTAGTTTTTGTCAACTGAAGGAATTATTCTTGTTTTAGGAGGTCAGCCTTCAGAGTTCTATTAAAAGTAACTTCCTACCAAATCACTGAGAAGTGAGTTAACTTCTTTTAGTTTATGAAGGACACCTCCTTTTCTGTAAATGGTGGTTTCGGAGTAGTTCTACATACAACTGCTGTATTCCAGAGATAAATTTTATTTAAAATAAATGCTTTCTGTTATAAGCATAAGTGGTAAACCATTTATAAACCTGACTTGCTAGGGATTAAAAAATAAGTTAAATAGGACTTAAATGATATTGCATTCAATAATTGTCATTTAATTTGATATTTATCACTTTTCACTAACATTTGTGATATGTTTGTTTATGTTAAAGAGTCATTGATCATAATTGCACTTTAATATTTATATACTAGTTTTTGGAGCATTACTTTGGACAAACATATTTATCATTTAAGTAAATAAAATAATCCAGTGAGATAAACTACCCAGATTTGTCCTTCTTAAAATCTTTTGCACAGTAGCTCTCATTATGTTGCTAGCCAATGAAAGTCTTTATTTGTTGCTTATTAGAACCCTCAGTACACTCAAGAGTTCAGCTATAATTTAATTTGGCTGTTCAAAGAACCTCCCTTGTTTTGAAATATGTTCTCAGTATGCTTTTATCATTTGTTGTGAACCTGTATTCTAACTCAATGCATATGCATAAGAATGATATTACAGACATAACATTCTTTAAGTTTTTGCCATAGTCATAACTTTTTTCTTTAAAAATATCTGTACTTAACAACGTCAGTTTTGTTCTTTTTGCTCTGTTTTCT